AATATGTATATATTGCAATTGTAAGGTGCATAAAGAACACTCATTTCATGTTATATCTCATGTCAATATATCAAAATATCAAATGTAAAACGTCCTTTTTTGAAGTGGAAACATTTGCTGAACATATTTTACAGGAGGTTACGAAAAATGGCAGACATGTTTTTTTTTTTTTTTTTTTGCGGCTTTTTTTTTTGCGGCTTTTTTATCACCCAACGCGCTTCTGTTGATAATGATGAAGAGTTATGTTGGCATCCACCGTGAAAGAGCTTTTGCATTGCTTAATCAGTTCATCAATAATTTATGCTTAAACTCATAATGTACTTATTGTTTTTGTATACTTATACCAACCACATATGGTAAAGATATGGATTTGTTGTACGAAAACATTAAATGAAATGAAAAGTTTATGTAGTAAAGCTTGCCTGACAGAGTTAGCGAATGTGTATTGTTTTTGTCTGATACATGTATTACCTGTTTGTCATTTACCTCAGTGGTAATAGACACAACATCATACATCCCATCACTAGCAATACTCATACATATAAACCAGCCGTACATATACAAGTTAAACGATGATTACTCATACAAGAAACTGTGGTTGGGGTTGGGGTCTTATACAGGTAAACTGTATCCTATTAAGCAGCATTACTGCAACACCTGGCGGCCGGAGTAGCGATCCTACTTTACAATACAAATCAGGGCTTTGTGAAATGAAAAGTTTCCTGATCATTAACTAGTTGAAATCTTCATTGCATATACATCTTCGTTACATAAAAACTAGAGTAAATCGAAAAACATTATTTATAATTTATACTGCATTTATTAGGCCAATTTTGGAATATGCTGACATAGTTTGGGATAACTGCACACTACAATGAACAGATCTTCTAGAATCTATACAATTAGAAGCAGCAAGAATTATTACAGGCCTTCGTTCAGGAACATCTCATAATAAACTTTATACCGAACTTGGTCTGGAAACTCTGACTGCCAGAAGAGAGAAACACATATATATCATGATGTATAAATTAATGCATGGACTCTCACCGCAATATTTACAAGATGTGTTGATCCCCTTTACAAACAATCCTAATGAAAATCATTATTCTCTCCGACAAACTAGACCTTTTATCCCACCAATATACAGAACTAATAACTACTTTGACAGCTTCTTTCCTTTCATGTGCCGCACAGCTAACAACACTGATACTAATCTTTTTGACTCTCCTACACTTGCAAGTTTTAAATGGCTGTTAGATAAAAATACTATAACTGATAGTGAATCTGTTAAAATTTTCAAAACTGAAGGTGATAGAAGAACAAACATTATTCTTTCCCAACTTAGAAATTATTGTAGTGATTTAAAGTTTGATTTGCATCATGACCACCTAACTGATAGTCCAGTATGTACTTGTTCAGATGAATTGGAAACAGTCTCTCATTTTTTTTAGAATGTCCTATTTACTATGATTTGAGGATTAATTTATTCAACTCACTCAGTAATTATGCCCTTGACCATAACCATATCGATATTGAAATTATTTTACATGGCTGTCCTAATTGTGAAGGTAATACAAACAGACTAATGCTTCGTGATATACATTACTTTATGGGGAAATCCAAACGTTTTAACTTGTACAAGATCTAGAAAGCCATTATTTTGACAAAAACTGTAATTTTCTATGAAAACAGTTGAACGTGGTTGTGAATTTATTTGATTATGTAATAAAAAATATTTTCATTTAATTATTTTGTGCTCCTCTACACAATGTTTTACTTAAACTTTTGATAAATGTACATATCGGATTAAATCTGTAGATTAAATAGTTACATATAAATAAATTAATACACACTTAAGGTGGTGATGACCTGTGCAGTACTTGCGAATGGACTTTTGGTCTATCTACCTAACTGTATCGAATGTTAAATAGTAACTCATGTGTACACGTGTAATCATGATAATTAATAACCATATTTATGTTTTGTTTGTGTGTGTGTGTTTGTGACGGCGTGTGTATGTCCTATGTTGTATTGTAAATAATCAAAAGTGAGTTATCCCCCTTTAATTACTTTATCGTTTACATTTATGTATTTTCATTTCAAAATATCTATAAAATGTATTTAGCTATAGTTCTATAATAGTATTGTAATACTCTAGCCACCTATGGAAAGAATTTATATAGGCTTGCCTGTTATTCGATCCATTTGACCATAACACCATGTCAATAAAATCTGTTGAAATGAAAATAAATTGCAGAAACGATTGGTGAATATATTTGGCAGATGGTGATCGTGGTAACTGGTTTAATTGAGCGAAACATGCCAGACGTGTTCCGCCTCGTAGCAGCTTGTTTATTACCTGTCGTGTTTCTCTGGTAAAGAGAGATACAGAGTGAGTCTGATTGGTAGCTTTCACTGTGAATGATTGTCTCAGCACATTAAGTATTTGAAAATGCTTTTGAAGTAAAATATTCATAAACCTACCCATTTCCAACCCTTTATTGTGGTATACTGCTGGTGTGCTTTTTATTCTGAATTTCAGTTTCTGCGTCAACAAACTTGTCATATAAGAGTGGACAGGGGATCTAGGGGGATCTAGACAACGGCTGTTGTGACTTGTGTGTTACGCCAAAGAATGGAACTAGGAAATGAACTGTTTCCGTACGAAGAATGTGTATTCGTGCTGCATATTTCGCAGATAAGTTATTTTACGTAGGTTTCAAGCTATTTGATGTAGCTGGCAAGTATTATTTTATACTTCAATTATTGAACTTCCATCATAATTTACGGGAGAGCTGTTTTCTAGAATCCTGTAGGTTATAATTTAGTGCTAGGTGTCTATTGGGCAGTATAATGGACATTTCATTTATTGTGATTTATATATGAACCTTGATCTGTGTTATTTTGAATACATGTGCAGCTTGATATTTGATAGCTGATTTTGAATTTGCTTGATAATTAGCAGGGAGCTGATACCCAGAAACTGTTAATTATTGATTAACGGGGAGTTGGTTACTCTCAAACCGTTAATCTATTGATTCGCACAATAACCAGCGGGGAGCCGATACCAAGAAACCGCTGATTAGTGATTATAGAATTGTTTGTTCGTTGATTGTGGTCTGTCAAATTACACCCATATTGGCTTATTGGGTCGACGGCCGTTTAAAAGTTGTGACCAATAAATCCAATCAAGCTTATTACATGCACTTGTTATTTGTGTATCTTTAATAATGCGTTTTTACGTATCTTAACAAGTTGCCTTATTCAATTTAAAATGCCATAGCTTGCAGTTTCGTTGACGTTCAAAGCAAAATGATATAAAAGTGTCCCTATATTTTCACGTTGCACGTTATTTATCATACAAATGTCCCATTCAGTCAGGTCGTCAGAATATTTTATAGTTAAGTTAAATTATAATTGAAACACATTGTGCAAGGCACTAACATTCCATAAATATATAATATAAAGTTCAGAATTGATAATTTGTTGTTTGGGATTTCAGCTGCTGCTCTTGCTTATAAGCTTTGCCACGTACTTGCCACGTACACGCGCATCATTGACTTCGCTATCTCATGTTCTGTTGTCATTACAAAACCGTTTCACATCGTCTGGCAATTCGCCTTAGTACACGGGATAATTGATTTAATATGGACTACAATGGAATCGTTTGATTGTATAGCTTCGATTTCATGTTTTTATTACCGCTCCTTAGTTTATATGACAATGGTACTGAAGAGTATTCAGCTGACCAAAGCTCCTCCATTCCTTATACAACATATAACAAAACCTGGATACTACAGTAATACCTTTATATTTCTCTTTGTGCGTCTTTGCTACCTTTTCTGTTTGGTTTGGTTTGGCTGGAGTTTTCCTCAACATCCGTTGTTTACCATTTAACTTTCAGACAAAACTGCAGATTTGTAATATTGTACCGTTCTTAAGAGGTGTATGTACTAAATCATGGAAAATGACGAAGATAACTGTTGAGGAGAAATTTGATTATATTTACATAACCACCTACCGTACATAAGATTTGAGTGTGCACACGTAAAAAGTATTGATTGATGAGGAATACAGTTTTCCATTCATATATTTCACAATATTTAATTGCCTGTTGCTGACATGTGCATCACTACCATTTAACGTTTACTGATAATGATCCATGCACTCATAAATGTAGACGTCGATGTAATGAAAACTTTCTGAAATCCGCCACCCGGCATATCGTTTCATGCTTATCTTACACGCGTGTCAGTAGCCATGTTGTTTATTTTAATATTCAGGAATTTATGCATTCATGTTATAACTTATCGACAGGGAAGGGTTATAGAACAGCCAATCGATTTATATTTCATTTTCAAAACTTTTAAATGACATTAATATAATTTGCCGTTATTCCAAATGCATCTTACATTAACTTATCATTCTATAACTACAAATAAATACAGGATAATGTGATAAAAAATCACATCGTTTTAAAACATGAAAATAAAGCACGTTTTGTTTGAGTTTTTTCAAGCATTAAACAACATTATGTTCCGTGTTTTGGTCCTTTAACACAAAACAGGATCGCAGACAAAATGAACATACGCACGTTAGCGCGTTACGATTATTTGTCTGCAATCCTGTTCTGTGTTATAGGACAATAACACGGAACGGAAACCTATTTGTGCTTAGATTTACTTTTTTTTTAATTTTTTTTTAAATTTTCATTTTTAAGTTCACAATTTATAAGAACTAGGTTATAAAGATAATTTTTTGTTTGTTTCAATTACCCATATTTACCAATTATTTTATCTGCCACTCCATCACAAACATCGCCGTCATCATCGACACAAAAAATATTTTTGTGAGGTTAACTAGATGTTATGTTTCCTGCAATCAAGGTCTTGTGTGTGTTCATTTACATAAAATTATAATGGGTGACTAAGTTAAAAGAAATGCGTTATAAATCATATATATATTTGGATACAAATCAAAAATTATGTAGAATTACTTACCTGACAGAGTAAATGATACCCGTTCGTTATTTACTTCAGTGACAACAGACACAACTTCATTACATCCCATTAGAGGTACTTACAATAACAATAAGGGATACTAACAATAAGAGGTAAACGTATACGCATAAGTATACGGATACGGATACGTATTTGAAGGGGAGCGACCAATATTAACATTTATTTACATTATTAACCATTAACACGATACTCATGAGATGTCATTAACAGAATATTTGGTGAACCGTATCAATAGAGTGTGTCTCTCGACCGGCCTATACAATGAACGCACGATCACTATAGGATAACGTGTTAAATATTTGATAAGTGTTTTAAAGTCGGGTAGATTTTATGTGCTTGTGTCGCCAAAAATGTTTTTCCCTAAGGATTCAAAAATATACTTGATTGGGGGGGACTAACTAGAGATATGTGGTAGATTATGAAAGTCATGTTTTTATCAAATCACATGAAATTCAGACAAAAAATAATGCCTCTTTATGTAAGAATAAAACACATGATGAAAGAAGGAATACTGCCCTTTTTATCACATTATTTTATTACAAGTATGGAAGTTTATAAACTGGTTTAATTTTTATTTCAAAATGTTCTTTAGATGTCATTAATGTTTTTCTAAGATAACAGTTAACATCTATAAATACATGAAACCGTCATTATTCTGGCTGGTGTAGGTTTACAGTAATGCGTAGTTGATTCTGAATTACAATTTTCAATTTCTGGCTGGAATAATATTCTCCCGATGGTGACTTTTTTTTTATACTTTTCCTGATATAACTTGAAACCCATCAACATTTTCATTTTTTTTTTCCAAATTTCTATTAGCTATAAAAAGTTAGTAATTAGGATGTAGTTTATTTTAAATCGATTATTTTGCTCTGCCACCCCATCGCAATCATCGTCGTCATCATAAAAACAAAAAATAAATATTGTGAGGTAAACGAGATCTTATGATTGCTGCATTCGAGGTCTTGTATGTCTTGTATGTCTTGCATGTCTTGTATACAATATATACTGTTGTATTTTCTGACGCCGATTGAGTTAAAAGAAATCCCCGTGCCAAAATAATCAGTTGGAAGAATATATTTTTTTTTACCAGAGTGACAGGGATCACATTTGCAGATTAAATGTACCATCCACAAACTTCTTAGGATACGATATTTCCAAATTACGAAGGAATTTGTTAACGCTTACACGGTGTCTTTTTATAATAGCGCTAAGCTGAATGTACTTGTTCCACACATTTTCGTCACTTCATTCCTTTGCGTTTTTGTATAGAGGTAGTTGGACAAAAAGACGTTTATTAGTACCCCTTCGTGACAAAGCAACGTTTATGAATGTTTCTTCGCAACAGTAGCATGATGGCGTAAAAGGAGTGGTTTTCTGTATTGACATATGTTCTTGTTCTTGTAAAATAACAACAGAAGAAAAGTAAAAAATTTATTCAGTTTTCTGCTATTTTCGAATTAGTTTTAAATCGACAGCTTTCATGTAATTAATTTTCTCCATGCAACACAAACAAAATATTCAAATATTGTAAACTAATATCAACAACATCTGATAAGGATTTGTTGTATGAAATCGTAGATATGTAGTGAAAAATTGTGTAGAATAGCTTACCTGATTGAGTAAACGAATTTATTCGTCGATGTTTCCCATTCCTCATTTACTTCCACGACGATAGACACAACTTCATTACATCCAAGTACTGGTATTACTCATACAAATAAGCAAACTGTACATGTACAAGCTTAAACGATGAAAACTTATTCATGAAACTTTGGTTGGGGTCCTTGGTGAAACCCTTATACATGTTTTTTCATACTACGCAAAATATGCTCTGTTACCTAGCGACAATAATATATGTAGCGGGCCTATTCATTGACAACATACGGGGCCTTGTTAAATGAAACGCCTTCACATCACCTTGAATTTTCCAAAAACCTGGTTTGATGAAGTTTTTCGTCTGCTTCACTTCCGTCCAAGTTGTGTTGGCTTATAATTTATTCATGTATTTAGTACAGTCGAAGGTAATAGCTGACAATCAAACTCGCGTTCTGATTGGTGGAAATTGTATGCCAACCAGCGTTGCTAGGAAAGATGTGGATGGGTGATGTTGCTTGCTGTTATGTGCTGTCAAAGTTATAGTTTATATAGATCAGTTATGTAAGCCTGTAGTTTGACGAGTTGTATGTGGGGCTTTTTTTTGTAAATAGGATGGAGATATCAAATGGAGAGACACGGCAACATGTTAATTGATTAAAGGTACCGATTCTCCCCATTTCACGATGTTTGGTCATCTCTTCTTTTAAAATGTAAAACATAACAAATATTGTAAAAGAGCAAATATCAGTTTCTTTTCCTGTGACACGATGTACGCCTTGGCTTGATAAGTTAACCTCACCATTGACTGGCGTGTCCCACACACCCTCTACATGACACTAGTTACGTCAACTCTAAACAAAGCAAAGAAAATACAGCTAGTATACTATCAGAATATGTGTAGAATACTTAATAATAATGGAGACTTTGTTGTGTTGTTAATGTCATTTATAAACGACGTGGCAACCAAGGTCAATACTGATCAAATATCACTATAATTACATCGACCATCCAACGATATCAACATTTAAACTTGGAATTACGTTATGTATTTTTGGACAATAGCCCATGCCCATAATATTTTCTAACAACCAAACGCTCTTCTAAAATAATGTGTCGCAAATGTAAACAAGCGAGCTGTGGAACTGGTTTCCGGTACCCGTATTAGATTGTGTATGTATTCAAAGATTTATAAGCAGACAAACAAAAACATATTCTACTTTACCTCTAGTCTACTAAAAACATGTCATGCTCCCTGTCAGAATGTTTCCCCAAGCTTGTAATGTCAAATATTTTCATTTGTTGACGTGCGATGTTGATAGATTGGTAATATGATTGATTGAAATAGACATCTCGTATAAAGCGTGACGTCAGTGTTAATTGTTTATCGTCAAGCGACCAAATGGCGACTGAAAATGAAAAAATCCTTCTCAAATATATATCCAGGTTGAATAAACCAAATAGGACAACAGCTCGCTGAACATTGCTTGTATTACTATATCAAGATTCAACAGGTATGTGATAAAAAGGAATACACAGTAGTTTATCATGTAGAATAGTTGTGTTTACGAATGGCAACAACTGAAGATTAAATTTCTCATAAATATTTTGAATACAATTTTACAATCGCTTGTACATTGATGTAAACTATAGCTTATGTGAATCATCGGTACCTGTATTTGTACCCCACCTCTGCTGTTACGTAAACCCCCTTCTGTATACATTTGTATTATAAATGGTACTTAAAGATGCATATATATTTTTCATGTTTATTCAACTTTCTTTGTTTTATGACAGCAAAGGTTGCAGGAAGCGACTTCGGATATAACTTGTTCCCGGAACCCAGTGCTGTACTCGGACGTATGTCCTTAACAGCGGTAAGTGGTGATGGTCAACATTGCAATGACAGAGAAAGAAAAACATGTTATGATAGCTATTCATGCAACTACGCTGGTTGACTTGTACCATTTCGTTGTTTCGTCTTTAAGACGAGATGTATTTTCGTTGTGTTGCTCAAAAAGACGAAATCAAAGTACTGAAAAGCATCCAGACACATGCTTTCTTGATGTTGCAATATTTTTAAAGTTATACATATAACATTTTAGGAAAAACGAACGCAATACAGTCAGTTGAGATGCAGAATAAACACCATTTAAATTTGCTGAAACTGATGTGAACGGATATTTACTCTTATCTAATGTCTGTGTTTGCAATAGTCTGAAATATATTTTCCCTCCGAGGAACAACCACAAGTACTGCTTTAAGAAGCTTTTGGCTCTACTTCTGCCATAAGTAAAGAGTGGACTTCGGAATGCATAATTATATGACTGTTGCAATACCTCCTGAGTGCCTATTGGTAGAGAGTGGAAGATATATTTCCTACAGACCAGCAGCAGTGCACGTGCGTCACAAATGTCACAAATAGGATTTTGACATGGGTCATATGTCAGTATTCACTTCTTTGTATGATTACGTAATTGGCAATAGCATGAAACTTAAATCAATTCCTATACCACCCTCCAGGGACCGATGGGGGACTAATTAACATTGTGGTACATAAAACAACAATCTCACTGAAAATAAATATTGTAATACATGAATCACATCAAAGTTCAGTTATCAGTTTTTATGCAAAAAACAGGGTAGGCTTGTGAAAGTTACCTTGAGTTCATATTTTTCTGTGTATTGTGTGCTATCATGAAAAGGCATTAAAATGTGATATTTATTGTGCCCTGTTACTACTACGGACCAATGACCTTAACGGCACAAACGTCCCTATCATGGTTCGCTGACCAATTTAATTGATGCTGGAGAAGTGTCAACAGTTCCACACATAGTTTATAATCATGTAAGAGAGGAGGGGACAGATATTGCGCGGGCAGTGCCATACACAAACAGGTACATAATAATTACGGAAGAAAATCAGATAAGCTTGCTAGGCTCGGAATGAACCCAAAACATGATATATTGATTTCAACATCAAGGTGACAGTGCGTCAGAGACGTAAACTATATGTTGACTTCATATGAGCTTGAGGGTGATTTATATTATCATTATGGAGTTTCATTTATATTGCACACTGTTTATATTGGAACAAATTAACATGTTATTCACTGATTCAGAGTACGTACCTTACCACGCAATCTTTACAAACGCGTTCAGTTCACAAAACAAGATAATCGATGATGCAGTCAGCATAGTACCGTAATATGAGTGCCAATCGGCAATCGAAGGCATGAGTGCTCAGGAATTTCAAGCGCCCGGCAATTCAATAAACTTTTGCCCAAAATATTTCCTCTGTTTAAAACACATTATGACCTGACCACATGCAAAATTTGAAATGTATTTGGCAAGTGCAATGTCCTGAATTGCACCACAGGAGTCCGAAATTCTGTTTCTTTTGTTTCATGAAACTGACAAATAGGTGACTTCAGACCAAATTTGGTAACAAATTTAGAACACAAGACATCTATTAAACAGTTCTTAAGATATTGCTGTTTAATTTTTTTTTTTTTTAATTCTAAAGCTTTCAACCCATGTTGACCTTTGACCCCTGACTAGCACTTAAAGTTGACCTTTGACCTCATTACTGTTATTGAGAAAATGATTCATACTGCTTGTCTAAATAACATACTCAAGAATCATGTCTCTATTTCAAATAGTTCTTAGTATATTGTTGTTTGAAGTTTTTAACATATAAATTTGACCCCTGTGACCTTGAAATTAGTCAAGGTCATTTTAATAGGTAAACTTTATAGCACTCTATCCCTGATATCTAGCTTGACCCTAGGTTCAAAGGAAGTCATTCAAAAGAAAAAGTTGACGGACGGACGACGGACTACGGACTAAGGACGACGGACGTCATAGTACGGCATAAGCTCACATCGGCCCTTCGGACCAGGTGAGCTAACAAGATGCACAGAGGGCCTGAATCGCTCCTCTGAATATTTAAGCAGTCATAGCAAAATATTATCATTTAACATATACTGCGCTACAAATATTTCCTTCGCAAACTTTGTCGGCTCCATCTGTTGAAACTACCAGCCAAATATTATTATAAGATTCTACGTTTTTGGTGCTTTTTCAGAACTTGTTTGACATATTTTTTCTTGTGACCTTGCAACCAGGTCAATTTCATTTTCTTTCTTAAACCTTGTTAGCTCTATTCCAAGAAGCTACCAGAACAAATCTTTTGAAATGTTGTTGACCTCTGTGACCTATAAAATAGGTTGAGGTCATTTTCATTTGCAAACTTTGCTGAGCTCTATCCCAGGAAGCCACCATCCAAATATTATAACTTTATGCCTTTCGATTATTTAGAAGAAGTCGTTTGATGTTTTTGACATATTTGACACCTGTGACCTTAAAAGTAGGTCAAGGTCATTTTCATTCTCAAACTTTGTCGGGCGGCTCTATCTCAGGAACCCAACAGCCAAATATGAAAGTTCTATACCTTTTAGTTCTTCAGAAGAAGTCGTTTGAAGTGTTTGACACATTTTACCCCTGTGACCTTAAAAGTAGGTCAAGGTCGTTTTCATTCTTAAACTTTGTTGGGCTCTATCCTAGGAAGCCACCAGCAAAATTTAAAGATTCTATACCCTCCAGTTCTCCAGAAGAAGTCGTTTGAAGTGTTTGACACATTTGACCCCTGTAACCTTGAAAGTAGGTCAAGGTCATTTTCGTTCTTAAACCTTTTCGGGCTCCTACCAACAAAGTTTTCAGTTAAATATCATGGCTCTATGCCTGTTCGTTCTTCAGAAGAAGTTGTTTAAAGAAAAAGTTGACGGACGACGACTGACAGACGGACGCCGCACGCCGCACCATGACATAAGCTCACTTGCCCTTCGTGCAAGTGAGCTAAAGGTAAGTGAGCTAAAAACTGTATCGTCAACACAGTTAAAAATCATTTGCTTCCACAATGCAGTTTTGACCACTGAGGATTTACATGCTTATAATCTTCCATCGTGTTTTAAGGTTTTATGGCACATTATGATCATTATAACGATTCCCA